TCCGCGCAGAGCCCCAGGGCCAGGGTCCTGGCTCGGAGAGCCGTCCCCGCCCCCACCTTCCTTGCTCGGGGGTCTGCCCCGGCACCTGCAGCCCGTCCTCGCCATTGCCCGCTCAGTGACACATTCCAGCCCAGCCCCAGAGCGATCTCCCCCGCCCAGCTTCACTCCCCCCAGCTCTGAGCCCACCTCCGTTTTCTGCCTCTTTTCACTGTCTCCCCCGTCCCCCCCATCCTGCGTCTCGTCTTGTCTCGTCCCATCTCTGTCCCCCATCTGGCTCTGTCACCACAGCTCCCATGTCTCCACTTCTCTTTGCTTGGTTGCTCCTAGGCTGCCTGCCTCTTTTCTGTCCCCCTCTCTCTCCGGGCCACTGTACCCTCTGGGTTTCTGTGACCCCCGGGGGGGGTCTCTGTCCTTCCCTCCATCTCAGGGCTGCCCCTCCACACTCGCCCTCCCTGCCCATCTCTGAGCCTCTGTACCCTCGTCTGTCTTCAGTCTCCACACCACATCCCCTCCTGTCCATCTCTGCCCTCCAACCTGCTGTCCAGGCCCCACTAGTGAGCGGGGGCGGGGGGGCTTGTGAGGGGGCAGCCAGGGTCTCAGGGAGCGTGTGAAAGTGCTGCTGGGCGGAGTGGGGGTGGCACCTGGGGCGGGGCTTCTCAGCCCCAGATTAGACAGTGACTTTGACGTGAAGTTGATGCACCTTAAGCCCCATGTCGCCTTTATATGGAAACATTAAGCTGCTCTCCCAGGTCAGGGGGAGGTGGGGGGGAGGACTTCAGGCTCTGGGTCCTCTTCGCTGGGGTCCTGCCGTTGCTGGTGGGAGGTGTGTGTGCCCTGAGGCCGAGTCCCACGTGCTGCCTGTGAACTGGACCACGTTGGATGCAGACAGGACCCCCCAGAGGTGAAGGCCCCTCCTGTCTGCTTTATGAAATGGACAAGATCACATCTGCCTCACGGGGCTGAGGGTGGCACAGGAGGATTTAGGAAAGCAGAGTCCTGGGTTGGAAAGGCTCAGGACCCAAAGCAGCAGCCCACCCCTGGCACTTCGTGGGTCTGGCCAGGTCTCTGAGCCCACTCCCCAGCCTGTGAACCGGAATGATGATCTTGACCTCCCAGCATCCAGAGCAGCCAAGGTGAGCGGTGGGGGTCTGGTGGAGTGCAGTGGGCAGGCTGCAGATATCTGGTGAGCTTGGCAAGGCCTGGGACATCGGTGCTCAGGAAATTAGGAGCGTGCGATTAGGTAGTCTGTGGTCCGGTCTGTTACTCAGGCTTTGGCACCAAGAAGGCTGGATGGGAGTTCAGGGTTTGCTGTTCCTTGGCTGAGGGACCTGGGACAAGGGATGGACCTCAGCGCCTCAGTTTGCTTTACTGTGAGAAGCAAAGTCCCCGCATCCAAGGGTTGTGGTCAGAGATGGGTGACTGCGTGTGAGGAGGCCCCGCCGGTCCCCCGCGGGCCTTCCCCCATCATGTCATCAGGTGGCCCCTGAGAGGAGACTAGTGCATAGTGGGGACTTCCAGGCAGGAGAGGGCTGCAAATGTCGAGGTCAGAGCCTGGATTCTGACCTCAGACCTGCCCCCTTCAGCGACGAGCCTCGGTTTCCCCTTTCTGGAAGAACAATCTCTAATGCCCAGAATAGTTGAGGCTGAAAAAAAGAGAGTTGGGGCACATCGTGGGCGCTGAACACAGCCAGGCGCGGTCCACTCTGACGTGAGCCTCAGCTTTGCCTCTGCACAATGGGCCTTAGAAAATCCCACGTGGCGGAGCTGTCTGGGTGGTCAAGGACAGCAAGTGCAGAGCTCTAGACAGGGGAGTGGGTACCTGTCGATGTTGAACTTGACATCAACTAACAACTCGCTTTCCTTGGAGTGAGTGCCCCCAGCCCTGCTAAGAAGCCCATGAGGATCCCCAGAGCCTGGCACAGGGGGCTTATAGTACCTAGGTGCTTGGTAGGTATTGATGGAACTGATGTGCAAAACATTTAACCCCTAGCCCAGACAGGTCCCGGAAGTCCCTCCACCACAGGGCCAGATGTTAACCCTGCAGCTGCTGGAGGGCAGTGAGGTCTGCAGGTCCATGCCTGGCCCCTCCCCTCTCCCTCTCCCTCCTCCTAGTTCAGCTGCTAAGATTCCCTCCATTTCCCAGATGAGGCGACTGAGGCTCAGAAACGGATGTGACTTGCCACCAGTCATATAGCTAGTAAGTGCCCGAGCTGGGATTCAACCTACAACTGCCTGATTCAAAAGCCCAAATTCTTTCTTCTGGATTCCTCTTCCTTTCAAGGTTTTTTCTGTTGTTTTTTTTTTTAATCCCCATTCCACAGATGAGCAAACTGAGGCTCCAGAAAATGAAGCCAGTGGTCCCAAGGCACACAGTGGGTCAGCAACTGAGTCAAGGTTGGGCCCTGGGTCTATATGACTGAAAGACCGTTCCTGACCTTGATGAAATCCAATTTCCCCATTTTACAGCTGAGGAAACAGGTTTAGAAAGGTTTCCCCACAATTTGAGAGTCAGGGCCAAGCCTGGGTTTTACTGTATGTTTTTGTAACAGCTTCATTGAAATATAACCCACATACCATACAATTCACACATTAAAGTGTACAATTCAGTGTTTTTTGGTATATTCAGAGTTGTGCAACCATCACCACAATCAATTTTAGAACATTTTCATCACCCCACTAAGAAACCCCATTCCTCTGGCTATCGCTCCCCCATCCCCCCATCTCCCCAGTCCTGGGCACCACTAGTCTTATTTCTCAGTTTACAGATTTGCCCATTTTGGATATTTCATATAGATGGTATTACACAATATGTGGTCTTTAGTGATTGGCTTCTTTCACTTCGCATGGTGTTTTCAAGGTTCATCCATGTTGTAGCATCTATCATGTCATTTTTTGAAAAATTACTGGGTAGTATTCCACTGTGTGGATAGACCACATTTTATTTATTCATTCATCAACTGATGGATGTTTGGGTGTTTCCATCTTTTGGCTATTGTGAATAATACTGCTATGAATATCTGTGAACAGTGTTTGTGTGGACACTTTGTTGTGTTCTGGTTTTTAGTCTTAATTTTTGGCTGCACTGCACGGCATGCGGGATCCTAGTTCCCCGACCAGGGATCGAACTTGAGCCCCCTCCAGTGGAAGCACAGTCCCAACCACTGGACCACCAGGGAAGTCCCCTGGACACTTATTTTTAATTCTCTTGGGTAGATACTTAGGCATGGAATTGGTAACTCTATGTTTAACCATTTAAGGAACTGCCAGACTATTTTCCACACCAGCTGTGTAATTTTACATTCCACCAGTAGCATAGGAAGGTGCCAATTTCTCCACATCTTTGTTAATGCTTTTCTCATTTTGTTTTTTCTAATTTTTATAGCCATCCTAAGTGGGTATGAAGTGGTATCTCACTGTGGTTTTGATTTGCATTTCCCTGATGGCATAATGTTGTCAATTATCTTTTCCTATACTTACTATTTGTACAGTTGACCCTTGAAAAACATGGAGGTTAGGGGTGCTGACCCTCTGCACAGTAGAAAATATGAATATAACTTTAGAGTTGGTCCTCTGTATCCATGGTTCTGAATCCAAGGATTCAACAAACTGCAGGCCATGTAGTACTATTGTAGTATTTATTGAAAAAAATCTGTGTATAAGTCGACCCTTGCAGTTCAAACCCATGTTGTTCAATGGTCAACTGTATATCTTTTTGGAAAAATGCCTATTCAGATCCTTTGCCCATTTTAAAATTGGGCTGTCTTTTTCTTATTGGGTTATAAGGGCTCTTTATATGTTTTAGATACAAATTTCTTAGATACAATTTGCAACTATATTTTCCCATTAGTGGGTTGTCTTTTCACTTTCATCTTAGTGTCCTTGGAAGCACAAGAGTTTTTAATTTTGATGAAGTTCAAGTTATCTTTTTTTTCCCCTTCTGTTGCTTGTGCCTTCTGAGCTTTTGAGCTATAGGTGACCTCAGAGCCCGGGCTCATCTCTCCAAGCTGGAGTCACAGCAGCAGTTACCACTTAGTCTTTTTTTTTTTTTTTTTTTTTTCGGTACGCGGGCCTCTCACTGCTGTGGCCTCTCCCGTTGCGGAGCACAGGCCCCGGACGCTCAGGCTCAGCGGCCATGGCTCACGGGCCCAGCCGCTCCGCGGGATGTGGGATCTTCCCAGACCGGGGCACGACCCCGTGTCCCCTGCATCGGCAGGCGGACTCCCAACCACTGTGCCACCAGGGAAGCCCTTTTTTTTTTTTTTTGAATTTTTAAAATTTTTATTGCAGTATAGTTGATTTACAATACTGTGTTAGTTTCAGGTGTACAGCCGTGATTCAGTCATATATGTATAGTTTTTCAGATTCTTTTCCATTGTAGGTTATTATAAGATACTGAATATAGTTCCCTGTGCTATATAGTAGGTCCTTGTTGTTTATCTCTTTTATATATAATAGTGTGTATCTGTTAATCCCAAACTCCTATTTTATCCACCACCCCCCACCCGCCCGTTTCCCCTTTGGTAACCGTAAGTTTGTTTTCTTTGTGACCACTTAGTCTTTATTTTATGAGCATGGAGTCCAGAGCTGGACTGCTAGCACTCAAATCCCGGCTTAGTTCTGTACCTCTGTTTCCTCATCTGTAAAATGGGGGTGATAACGTCTACATTGTTGAGGTTCAAATATCTAAATTTATGTAAAGTGCTCACAACAGTGTCTGGTGCTGTATAAATGTCCCCTCTAGTTACTGTAGTGCTTGCTGTAACACAGTACTGCTGCTATGGCTATAGTTGTGTTCCTGTTGTTGCTACACAACCATCTCCTATAGTATTACCATCAGTGTTTTTGTTTGTTTGCTTTGGCCGCGCTGTGCGGCCTGCGGGATCTTAGCTCCTCGACCAGGGATGGAACCTGCGCCCTTGGCAGTGAAGGCGCACGGTCCTAACCACTGGACTGCCAGGGAATTCCCCCACCAGTGTTGTTGATGCTGTACTGCTCTGATTTTCCACCCATTTGCCAGATGAGGCCACTAAGGCCCAGGGAGCATGATGGCCAATGAGCTCCCCTATTTCCGGCAGCCGTGACGTGGCTGCCCATTTCTTGTCCCCGCAGGTTCGGGGCACCCGCCCCCCGCTAGGCCAAGTGGAGGGGGTGTCCCCGCCCAATGGGCCTGGCCAGGGCCCTGCGCCGCCTGAGCGGCGCCCTGGAGTCGGCGAACAATCGGGCAGGAGATGAGGAGCAGGCCGGGCCCGAGTTGTGCCGCAACGGGTGGGCGCCAGCGCAGTCGCCAGTGGGGCGGCGCCGTGGGCGCTTCGTCAAGAAGGACGGGCACTGCAACGTGCGCTTCGTGAACCTGGGCGGCCAGGGCGCGCGCTACCTGAGCGACCTGTTCACCACGTGCGTGGACGTGCGCTGGCGCTGGATGTGCCTGCTCTTCTCCTGCTCCTTTCTCGCCTCCTGGCTGCTCTTCGGCCTGGCCTTCTGGCTCATCGCCTCCCTGCACGGCGACCTGGCTGCCCCACCGCCAACCGCCCCCTGCTTCTCGCAGGTGGCTAGCTTCCTGGCCGCCTTCCTCTTCGCGCTGGAGACGCAGACGTCCATTGGCTACGGCGTGCGCAGCGTCACCGAGGAGTGTCCGGCCGCCGTGGCCGCTGTGGTGCTGCAGTGCATCGCCGGCTGCGTGCTGGACGCCTTTGTCGTGGGCGCCGTCATGGCCAAGATGGCCAAGCCCAAGAAGCGCAACGAGACGCTGATCTTCAGCGAGAACGCCGTCGTGGCGCTGCGCGACCACCGCCTCTGCCTCATGTGGCGCGTCGGCAACCTGCGCCGCAGCCACCTCGTCGAGGCCCACGTGCGGGCCCAGCTGCTGCAGGTGCGAGACTGTCCCGGTGGGAGACCACGCCCCCTGGTGGGCGGGCCCTTTCACGAGTTCGGGGGGGGGGTAGGTGTCCTGGGGGATGGTGGGAGTTGTAGGTCTAAGGGACAGGTGTGCATGGAGCCTGGAGGGGATCTAGACTACAATTCCCAGCAGCCTCCTGGGGGCAGGGCCCCTTTCGCCCCACCTTGTGGGCTGAGGATGGCTCCCCGAGCTGTTGTAGATGTAAACCCAAGGGAAAGGTCTCTGATCATTTCTTCCTGGAGGCCTAGACTTCAGACAGATTTTGAGACTTGTGGAGCTCCCTGTGGCTTGAGGATGGGCCCTCTATCGAATTGTGGGAAATCCAGACCTGCGAGGTCCACGCCTGGACGGTAAAGGCTCTGAACTACAATTCCCAGAAACTTCTGGGGGCAGGGAAATTGCCCACCTGGGGTGGTCTGAGGAGGCCTTGTAGTTTTGTGGGTGGTGTAAACCACGGCTCAGGTTTACGATTCTCAGCAGATATTGTGGTACAGACCTGTGACTGAGGCCAGACCCCTATGGGCTTGTGGGAGATGTAGGCCCGAGGACGGGGTGCAACTCAACTCACACCTGCAGAGTCAGGGAACACAATTCTCCATGGCCTCTGGGCATCATTTGTGAGAGACTTCATTCCCCACCTCAGGGGCCCAGACTCTCCCACCAGCCTCCTGCTCAGAGAAGTACAGGGCAGTGTTTGGGAAACTCTTGAATTTTAGCGTCTCACCAAACAAACAAACAAAGAAACCCAAAACAAACATAAAACTACAATTCCCATTGGCCCCTGGGGCAGCGACTCCTTCCTTCCAGCGCCCTGTTGAAGGTGCCTTAGAATTGTGTTTCTAGAATTGTGGTCAAACTGCCCAAGCAAATTCTGGGGCAGCAGCTGCCCTTGCCTTGCAAGTAAAGACACTTAAGAACTCTGGTCTGGGGCTGGACTGGGGTGAGAGGGAGGACGGGGTTGTGGTGGGAACTACAACTCCCAGCAGCCTCTGGGGGCTCTCGGAGACAGTGGCAAGAGAATGACTCCCCAGCCCGCCCACCTCTGTCTCCTGCTTGACTGAAACACCAGGATTCACGACCAGGAGGGACACTGTCTCTCCCAGAAGTCTCTGGGGTGCTGACATGGCCCGGGAAGTGGGTATAGAACCAATGGGTAGATGGGGTGAAACTGCCAACACCTGGCCTGGGCTTAGGCCCCCACCCCACACAAATACACAGACACACAAGGGGATGGAGGTAGTTGGTTTGGGGGTGTGGGTAGATAGCCCAGAGGCCAGCCTGAGGCAGTGGTGAAGCAGAGGCTAGATTGCCATCCTGGTTTATCTTCCTCTGGCCGTATATCGAAACTGTCCTCCTCCAACTGCTGGCTGGATGTCATTCTTATCTTCTGTTGTCTCTTTAACTCCGTTTCTGTCTTGCTGATTTCTGTGGCTCTATGTGAATGTCATTCTGTCCTCTCTTCTTCTCTCCCCTGTCTCTCGGATTCCTTTCCTTAATCCCTGAGTCTCTGGGCCTCCGTCCTCTCCTCCCTGGACCTCCGTCCCCCTCTCTCTGGGTCCATGTTCTCCCCACACCCCAACACCTACTGGTCTCTGCCCTCCTCTTTCTCTGCATCTCTCTCCCCTCCTTTCGCTGTCTCTGTCTCCATTTATCTCTCTGCTCCCTGATGTCCGGCTTTGGCCACTCGCCTTTTGCTACAGCCTCGCGTGACCCCGGAGGGTGAGTACATACCGCTGGACCACCAGGATGTGGACGTGGGCTTTGATGGTGGCACCGATCGCATCTTCCTTGTGTCTCCCATCACCATCGTGCACGAGATCGACTCCGCCAGTCCTCTGTATGAACTAGGGCGCGCCGAGCTGGCCCGGGCTGACTTTGAGCTGGTGGTCATTCTCGAGGGCATGGTCGAGGCCACAGCTATGACCACACAGTGTCGCTCTTCCTACCTCCCTGGTGAGCTGCTCTGGGGACATCGTTTTGAGCCGGTCCTCTTCCAGCGTGGCTCCCAGTACGAGGTTGACTATCGCCACTTCCATCGCACTTACGAGGTCCCAGGGACACCCGTCTGCAGCGCCAGGGAGCTGGACGAACGGGCAGAGCGTGCTTCCCACAGCCCCAAGTCTGGCTTCCCCGGCTCTCTGGCAGCATTTTGCTATGAGAATGAACTTGCTCTGAGTTGCTGCCACGAGGAAGAGGAGGAAGAGGAGGAAGGGGAGGGGGATGCAGCAGAGGCAGAAGACAGGGCTGCCAGCCCCCAAGTACTCACACCAACCCTAGCGCTGCCCTTGCCCCCATGATACAAGCTGGTACCCCCCTATTTGTACCCCTTTCCCAGAGGTAGCAAGATGGAGAGATTGGGCCCTCTCCTGGGATGAGGGCAGGTGTTTCCTAAGACCAACAGGCCTGCTGGGTAAATTATTAGCTGGTGATGTTCTGCCACATCTAGTGGACCTACCAATGAACATACTGGACCTTCATTCCTCTGAATTCTGTGCTCCCTCCTGAGACCCCTTTGTCAGCCCAATTCCTGAGTCTCCCCAGAGATAAGGGATCCAGAATTCTAGACCACCCAAGAGGCAAGGGCTGGTATTTCTAGATTCCTCTAGGTGGCTGGTTTGGTTTGTCGAGAAGGATCATGAAATGATCGTACAGCCCACCTCCAGGGGAAGAAGTCATCTGTTCTCAAGCAGCAGCAGAGATGAAGAATTTGTTGGTCTGAATTGACCTAAGATTCAAGGGACTGTTTCTTCTCGACTCAGCCAACCACACAGCAAATCATTTTTTCTGGACGACCTAAGGAGGGAAAGTTATGGAATGCCCCAAGAATTCAAGACTATATTGATTGACCAATGACAAGGAATGTTGACTGCAAGTCAGGAAAAGACTTTGCGGTTCCAGAAAACCCCAGTGTTGAGATTCTGTGAATACAGATTGACCACAGAGGCAAGCACTGGGGATTCTAGAACAGCTGTGACCAGAGATTGGACTACTCCAGAAACTAAAGAGTTATGTTTCTAGAATGCACAAAACAATTGGAGAGTCTGTGGGTCTAGAAGGACTAAAGTGACAGATTGGGAGTTCTAGATAGGCAATAACTCCAGACCACTGGCTCTAGAACATCGAACCGAGGGGGAGAATCAATGCTCTACATGATCCACAGGCTTTGTGTCTTTTTTAAGTGCCATTCTAGAAGGTCCAAAGGAATCAAGATTCTGTGGATCTAGATTGATCACAGAGTCAGGGAAGGATTGGCAATTCTGATGTCTGAGGTGTGCTGGTTGCAGTTTGCCCAGTGGAGTGGAGACTCTCAATGAGGATAGATGACTTCTTTGTGGTTCTGTAATGCCAAAAGGAATCAAGGCTCCAGGGATCCAGAGTTGTCCGTTATCAAAACCCGGAAGTTCTAATCAGCTCCTAGAACTTGGCAGTTTGAGGAGGTGGACTCGGGATTTGACGGGCAGCATTGCTGGGCTGACCTAGAAGGTGAAGGCTCGGGTGAGACCCTGTGGGTGACAGGGCTAGTTATTGGGCAAGGCAAGGGAGAGGCCCAAGGCTGGTGAGTCTGCAGTGCTCTGGAATCTTCCACCTAGTGATGTGTGTCTCTTTCTTAAAGATGTTATACATATGTGTATTATATATATATAATATAAATAAAGATATCTATCTATCTTTTCCTGTGTTCCTACAGTAGGGTTAGAAATTGAGCTTGAGTTAGTGGAATGGAGTGCTTTACAAGGATCCAGGAAGCTTTGCTCTAGACCCCAGCTCTGCCTCAACTGACTGTGTGACTTTGAGCAAATCACGCCCTTCTCCTCATCTCAGTTTCCCCATCTGTAAAAAAGGGGTATTGGAACTTGAAGTTCCCCAAGGGCCTTTCCCCATGGGTGATTCCTCACTTCACTGCGGGTTGGATGGGGGTGAGGGTCCTGGAGATACCCCAGCTCTCCCTGGTGCTGGAATGCCTGGTCTTCTGGGCGCAACAGGGATGGGAGATGCTCTCAGAGGCCAGGTCTGAGCCTGGATGTCTGAATGACAGGGCAGGCAAGGGGGAGGGAGGGCTGTGGCTCAGGGCCAGAATCACCTCCTCTCTGGTCCAGCTTGGGGGCAGGGGAAGGAGGAGGTACCTCTGAATGTCAGGGGAATGTATGTGTTTAGGGGGAGACTTGTCCCCCAGATTAGATCATTGGGAGCCCTGTGATGGAATGGTGTGTCTGGGAGTGTGCTTCTGGGGTACATACAGGTCCTTGGATCTGGCCCCTGCCCATGCTGCTATCTACCTAAGTGCCCAGCAGGCTAGAAGCCAGCCGCAGAAGGAGCCAGTGCCAGGGAGGACACGTTCCCACCAGTGTCCCAGGATTGAGGGCAGCCACTGTCATTACCCATCAGCCTGCCCCAGTGCTGCATCAACCCAGGTCCCCCCTTCTGGTTTCCCCACCTCCCTTTATCCAGCAGAATCCCCACATAATAACCGGATGGGATTAATTAGCTGGCTGCTACCCCAGCTCAGGGTGGCTGGGGTAGGTATCGGGGGCAAAAGGAAACCCAGACATGAAGAAGGGTGTTAAGTTGGGGGTGAAGGGACAGGAAAAGGGTTCTGTTTGGAAGGAGAGAGAGTGGGGTCAGGGCTGGTGCAACCTGGGTTTCTGCTAGGGAGGGCAGAGCTTGAGCCACTCATAAAGGTCACTGAGGGGATTAGGAGGCTCCGTGGCTAATCTGTCAGCTTAACCAGGTCCTGGCCCGGAATGTGTCCCCACCTGCCTAGCTCAGGGAAGGCGAGTGAGGACCAGGCCCAGACACCACCTCAGACCCGATAAGGGACCTGCCCGTTTCGGGGGTGCCCAGTATCTCCTTCCTAGCCAGGCCCCTGCACGCGCTTTGCCTGCAAGGAATGGGAATGAAAGGTGGGGGAGGGGAAATGTCCTCAGATGCGAGAGAACTTGGAGAGGACGGAGGATTTTAAGAAGAGCAAGAGTATGAGAGGAGGGAGAAGCGAGTCACAGAAGACAGAAAGGACTCTGAGAAGAGGGAGGGAATCAGAGGTGGGAGGATGCTGAGGAAAGGGGAATTGTAGCGGAGAAGGATGCTAAAATAAGGGGAGGACTTTTGGGGAGAGAGAGGGAGGAGACTGAGAGGCAGCCTGAGGCAGGAAGGCGGAGCCTGTGCTTTCACTGTATTTGGCCTTCCTCTGTTGTCCCGTTCTCCACGACTGAGACTAAAAAGCGCAGCATTTGGAAGAAAAAAATAAGTCTTTTGTTTCACCACTCCTTGACTCTGAAGAGGCTGAGGTGGATGGGGAGGTCAAGGGAGAGGGTAAGAAATGGGTCTGGAGATCGGAGGGGCCAGTACCCGGAGAAAGGAAGCCAAAAGAAAGCTGAGCCAAAGCTACTCCCGGTTGCGTGGCAACCGCTGCAGTCAAAAGCCAGCTGGGCCGGCTAGGAGGTGGGGCTCACGGAAATAACCGAGGGTCGTGGCCCCGCCCCTGGCAACAGCCCAACAAAGGGCCGCCCCCTAGCAACGAATTGCTAGAGGCGGGGCTCGATTGACCTGGTATCCTAGGGCCCAGAGCCCTTGCGCAGGCGTAGTTCTCTCTGCTTCTGCTTAGTCCCACCTCCACGCAACTCCTTTCCGAGGCTTCTCATTGGTGAGCAAGCCAGCCAAGAGCCTTCTTTAGTTTCGGAGGCGGGGCCCGGCCCCTGCTCGCACTTCGATTGGCCCCACTGACCGTCTGCCTCCGGCCGGACATTGCTACGTCTACTCCTTGCGCGTCTATTGGCCCTGGAGGGCGATTCTTCGGTATCGGAGGCGGAGCAGACGAGAGGGCCCGCCGTGGATTTGGCGGTGTCAAAACGAGGGGCGGTCCCTACTGGCGGGGCGGTTGGGAGGCGAAGGGAGAGTCTTTTCAGCGCTGAGGACTGGCGCTGAGGAGGCGGCGGTGGCTCCCGGGGCGTTTGAGCGGGCTCACCCGAGCCCGCGGGCCAACGCGGATCCAGGCCCGACCGGCGGGGCCGCCCCG